TCGCACACAGCTGTGAAAGTAAAAACAGGATTTATAATGCTGAAGATTGAGGAAGAGCTTTGCAACTCAGACCTCAAAGGAGAAGTATTGGCTTCCTCAGCTTCCCCCTGACAAGGGAGATTAATGTCATTCCACTACACTAGTGACTAGCTGGCAGAGGGAATTAAAATAGATCTTTGTCGTGCCAGGCAGGAGAAAGAACGTTGGAAGCTCCCAGCGCTGTTCTCTTCTCGGTGTTTTAGGAGCTGACAGGTGAAGGCTGGATGCCGGCTGGCAAGGACGTCCTGGCCTCCTGTGGGAAGCCAGCCAGGGTGGAGGCTCGGGCACAGGTCCCCTAAGTAGGGGGCATGGCTGTGACTCTGAGGGGGACTCCTGCTTGGCCCACACTGCCTGAAGGTTCAGCGTGGGGAGGCAGAGGCACATGGAGGCATCGGCCTCGGGCCTTCCCTCACGCATGGCTGGGGCTGCGCCCCGTGGCCCACCCCACCCATCATGCACTCCCCCTGCCCAGCTTCATTTCTCCCCTGGTCGCCCCCTCTGGGGCCTTTCTGTCTTCCTGGCAGGGAATGTGGCTGGAGGGCAGATCTGAGAGGAGAGCTAAAAAGAAACAAAACAGGAAGAAGATGCGGGGGAAAAAGAATAAAAACAGGCTTACTGAAGGAAGGAGGCGTAGGGGGGAGTGGGGGGCAGACAGAAGGTTCCAGAGGGCTGGATGTTGGGAGGAATATAATGGGGGCTCAACATGAATAGGACTGGCTCTATTCTCAGCACTTTGTCAGAATTCGGTACATCATTAAATTCTGTGACAGCCCCATGGTGGACGTGAGAAGGTGCCCTCAGAGCACGCGCTGTGGGAAGAGAACTTGACCATTGAAGTTGCTCCCCCTCGAGAGACTTGGTTTGGCCGGTCCCTTCCTGGGAGATGTCACCTGGGCGACATGACATCCCAGTGGCCTTACCAAAGCTTTCCTTCCATCTCTTCAACACAGGGACAGACCTGTGTCGTGGTCTGAAGGCTCCTCGGCCTCTCCTAGCCTCCCCTTTTCCCTCACAGGTGTTCTCCCTAACGCATCTCTCATATGTCCAATTCCTTTCCATCCTAGCATCTGCTTCTTGCAGAAGCCGAAGTAGCAGAAACCCCAACACCAGGTACCATTGTTATGTTTATTTTACAGAAGGGAAAATCAAGGCACAGAGACATTAAATGAATTGCCTCAGTTTTGCAGTCAGTACACACATGGCGGGGCTGGGAGTTGAACCCACCTGCTGAAGCCTCGTGCTGCTCTTATTACCATTTTTCACATGGAGAAGCCAAGACAAGTTTAGAAATAAATGCACTGTCCCTTGGCTATTGTGGCTCAAATACCCCAGGATACTAATGGGGCCCAATGAATATCTGGGGTCTTCAGTCTCCCCTGAGGAAGGACAGCATCTCCTGATGCCTTTCTGGAGTGAGGGGCAGCTCCCAGGTGCTCAGGGACAAACCCATGCCCTCCAGTGGCATCCTACACATCTGCCAGGCACCAGGCGTCTCCAGCCTGCGATCACATCTCCTCCTGGCTCCCCAGCAGCACTGTCTGTGGTACACTCCAATGACTGCAGAGTTCCTGAGACCCCAAGACTGCCACAGCCTTGCTGGCTCCCACGCAGATCCAGGGAGTTCTCTGAAAAGAGGCTCTGAAAAGATCTGGGGCAGGTTTGGGGCCAGATACCTCCTGCTTCTTTTTCTCATTGAGGACATTTCTCAATCTGGGGCATTGCTGGTCCCAGATACCTTTGCACAGAAGCGGCTTTCTTAACCACGTGCAGTTACCCCCAAGAAGACTACATTCTGCTGACCTGGGAACAGCTGTCTGGATTCAGGAGGGCTCAGATGAAACACTCTGCACAGCTGGGAAGTGCTGGACCGAGATCGAAGCCTGGGTCTGCCTCCGTATACAACAGCCCTGCTCTTCCTTATAACGGAGGAGGAGAAACCTGGAAGAGAGGGAAATCACAGGAGCTAGGACACAAAGTGATGAATGGGGATGGGGACAGTGATGCTCTGGGATGAGGAGAGATAAGGAGACCAGAGAGAGGAGCATCTCTGCGGATGTCAGGCTCCCTCGTGAATGGTCCTGCAGGTGGCCATGGGCCAGGAGGGCATTCAGCTTGTCTGGCTGTGTGAGGGCTGTTTGGGGAAGCGTCTGTCTGAGAGCTGGGGACTTTGCCTATGTGTCAGCAGGACCTTTCCAAGTCCCCGGGATCACTGCCCTTTCAAACAGCCACCAACCTTCTTAGCCTGGTCTCAACCACCCAGTGACTTGGGGCTTCTCCCAGTAGCTTCCTGGGTTCTCACAGGCCTTTTTTTCTTTTCCTTCCTTCCTTCCTTCCTTCCTTCCTTCCTTCCTTCCTTCCTCCCTCCCTCCCTTCCTTCCTTCCTTCCTTTCTTTCTTTTTCTTTCTTTTTTTTTTTTTTGATGGAGTTTTACTCCTGTTGCCTGGGCTGGAGTGCAGTGGTGTGATCTCAGCTCACTGCAAGCTCTGCCTCCCAGATTCAAGTGATTCTCCTGCCTCAGCCACCCAAGTAACTGGGATTACAGGCATCTGCCATCGCATCTGCTAATTTTGTGTTTTCAGTAGAAACAGGGTTTCTCTGTGTTGGTCAGGCTGGTCTCGAACTCCCAACCTCAGGTGACCCGCCCGCCTCGGCCTCCCAAAGTGCTGGGATTACAGGTGTGAGCCATCGCGCCCGGCCCTTCTTATCTTAACATTTCCATGTCATTAAACCCTCCATGAAATGTGGCCCTTCTCTTGCTCCTAGGAAGCATGTGTGCATGTGCGTGTGCACATATGTGTGTGTCTGTGCACACGCACAGACCTAGGGACTCTTCCACTGCATGGACTGCTGGCCAGACCCCAACACAAGAGGAGTGATGGGTCACAATGGAGATGGAGGAGTCAAGTCCTACCCCCCAACCTCCCAGCCAGTTCTGGCAGTCTTTTGAGGAGGTGACAAAGACAGAAAGGGGCTCCAGCAAAGGTGACTCCATTTCCTTTCATGCTGAGACTCAGGTATGCAGGTGGTCACCAGGCAGTGCTGGGGAGACTGGCGGTGGAGTTAGTGGTGTGCAGAGTGAGGGCAGGGGAGGCTACTGACAGAGGGTCTGGCTGAAGGACAACAGGGATGGGGTGACTCTGAGGGTTGACTGTGTGAAGTGGAGGATGAAGAGGACTTGGGGGCTACTTTTGTCTGCCGCTTCCCGTGCCTCTGTGATTGCTTCTCCCTTGCCCTGTCCCCAGTTAGCACCGCACATCTGTGGGATTCTTCCAGTCTTGCCTGGTCCCTAAGGCCCCAACCACAGCACCTGCATTATCTGGTTCTTCCACCTGACACCTTGCTCTCTGACCTCCAATGTCCATGACTCTGCCGTGCCCTGTGGCACACTGGCCCTCTCTTTTATTCCTTCTTTTCAAATTCATTCACTTTTATCCAACCCCCAGTCTGTACCATGTCCTGTGGAGCAGAACAAGCCATAGAGAATTTTAACCTATTTTTTCCTGGTTCTACTTTTTAAAGGTCTAAATTCCTTAGGCAGTGGTAAAGAGGAAGCTGTCCCCTTTCCTCTCCTTCTGGACTGTAAACAGATTTCCTGGGCAGGAGGAGGAGGCAGGGGTGGGCAGGGCAGCTATGAATATACAGCCTCAGGTGAGCCACAGAGAGCAAGGCCCTTCTCTGCCTCTGGCGCAGAGCCCTGCAGATGCTGCAGCACCCATGATCATCTGCAGGATCCAGTGGCAATGGGGCCTGTGCCCTGCTCCCTGAGCATGGTCCGAGGAGGAAGCAGACCCCAGAGAGAAAACAGGTCTAGGTGGACGGCCATAACCCATGTTTCAGAGGCCCATGATGTGGTGTGGCATGGGCCAGCAGAGTGACTTGGCCCGCAGGCATGGGGAAGTGAGCACGGTAGCTGGACCCGAGGGCCAAGGCAGACAGCAGCAGGGGCTGGACCACCCATGTGGCTCAATGGCTGAGGTTCAGTGGGGAGATGCCTGGTGAATACCAGTGTGGCAAGCAGAGGATTCAAAGAAGGGTAGTTACCCACTTATTGCAGGGGGCTGAAAGGAGTAAAAAACCCAATAGAAGGTGGTATGAACAAGTGGCAGGCTTTGTGACTCTTGTGCTAGGAAGTCCTGAGCGGGCAGTCCAAAGCGGCTGCAGCACCGTGACGCCGTCTCCTGGCGCCCAAGCACCTTGGGCCTGTTTTCTCTGCCATTTGCTATGGTTTGAATATGTCCTCTCCAAAATCCAGGTGTTGTCAATGTGGCGGTATTAGGAGGTGGGGGTCTTTAAGAGGTAACTGGGCCATGAGGGCGCCTCCCTTGTACATGGGATTGTCTCTTACAAGGCTTCATACAGTGTTTGCTTAGCTTGGCTCGACTTTCTGCGGCCTGCCGTGTGAGGACATGGTAAGAAGGGCCTCATCAGACCAAATGCTAGTGCCTTGATCTTGGAATTCTCAGCCTCCAGAACTGTCAGAAGTAAATTTTTGTTGTTTATAAACATTCTAGTCTGTGGTATTCTGTCATAGCAGCACAAATAAATGGTCTAAGAAACTATTCTTTTATTAGGAAAAAATAGCAAATTGTGGTTTTAGATTTAAGAGATAAATTTAATTCACACAAAATATTCATCCTATAAAGATGAGTCATAAGGACCAAAGAAGTGCATTTTTTTAGACATGCTTAAACATAGCCCGCAGGTATCAATGCACTGCTAACTACAGCTACTCCCACACCTTCAAGCTATCTCTTACTCAGCCAAATGTCAAGATTTTCTCAGTGAAAACTTAATTGCCGTTTTTCTGGCTGCATTAATTTCACCCCAACAAGCCTTTAGTACTTCAGTAATATTTTGCGCCATCTGAATACAGCAGCTGAATTTACCCAGCACATGCCATGAAACCCAAAGCCATATATTTCAAAGGGCCCACTCAGGTTCATCACAGAGCAGAACGACACCTCTTGCCTCCTCAACTCTGTATCCTTCATATTCTGCTTCAGTGCAAAACTGTGTTTATGAAAAAGCACATATAACTTTAGGTTCTACTTCAGCCCCAAGATAGGTTCAAATCTGTGTATGCAGCTTAGGCGCTACTGGGGACCCCTGTGTGCCTGAGGTCTCAGGCTGCAAATCTTCATCTCATTCCACTCCTGAACAGGGAATGGAAGTCAAGAGTCCATGAGAAGGTTCCTAGACACTAGAATTAAGGCCACCATGCTGATTTCATGCACAAAAGAGGGGAGACAAAGATGGAGGAGCATGAGCTCACCTCAAGGTGAAAGACAGGCCAGGGACACTGGGCTGTGGGCACAGGCAGATCACAAGGTCAGGAGATCGAGACCAGCCTGGCCAACATGGTGAAACCTTGTCTCTACTAAAATACAAAAAAAATTAGCTGGGCGTGGTGGTGCATGCCTGTAATACCAGCTACTCAGGAGGCTGAGGCAGGGGAATCACTTGAACCCGGGAGGCGGAGGTTGCAGTGAGCCGAGATCACACCACTGCACTCCAGCCTGGCAACGGAATGAGACTCCTCAAAACTTCTCAAAAAAAAAAAAGAAGAAGAAGAAGAAGGGTTACAAATGGGGCAAGGAAAGCTTCCTGGAAAATCACCAAGAGCAAGGCTGACATTGTGGTGTATCTAGAAAGAACGTAAACAAGCCGGTCCAGTTGACTCTGATAGAGGGAGCAGTGGGGACTTGGGGGAGGGCCCCTTGACTTTGGGGAAGCTAGCTGTGTCCTCTGGGGCAACAGACAGAAGAAAAGGGAAGTGAGCCTATTCAAAGCCCCTCTGCGGGCGATACACTGTGCTAGATGCTCTCACTGTCATCTCTTATTTTCTTTTCAATCCTGAATATAAATATTACCACCCCACTTTTCTGAGTAAGCTGCAAGGCCCGGGGTAGTTAAGTAATTTCCAAAGACCAACGTCTAACCTTCAAGTTCAGGCTCATCAGCATCAGAGACAGGGTCTGAGGAGGGGCCAGGGCAGATCCCTGAAGGCAAGAGAGTGGCAAAATGGCCTCAGGGCCTTGCTGGTCTCACTGAAGACAGCAGTCGGGGAGTCTGGACTCCTCGATGGCACCTGCAATACCTGGAGGAAGAGGGTAGCCTGGGGCAGGCGTTCCCTTAGACCGTGCTGAAGGGTGATACCCTGGGCTCCGTACCTCTCTCAGGGTTGCTCTGACACCTTATTTAGGGTTTACACAAAGTATTTTCAATTCTTTTTTGCCAGTAAAGGCACAGGGGACTTCAGAGATACTCTCAACTCTTAATTGCTGCAATTACGCGATCCTTAGACTGAGCATTTAAAAAAAAATTGCGGCTGGGCTCGGCGGCTCACGCCTGTAATCCCAGCACTTTGGGAGGCCGAGGCGGGTGGATCACGAGGTCAAGAGATCGAGACCATCCTGGTCAACATGGTGAAACCCCGTCTCTACTAAAAATACAA